CAGTGACTTAAATAGAAGAGCTTAAGCCATAAAACTCTTTCTTAGAAGAAAACATAGGGGAAAATCTTCATAACCTTGAGTATGCCAATGAACTGCAAGCTATAACATCAAAAGCACAAACAACATAAAGAAAAAATTAGGAAAACTGACCTTCAATAAAATTAACATTATCAAGAGTGAAAAGACAACCTATAGAAAAAAGAGGAAAACCTTGCAAATCATATATAAGGGTTTAATGTCAAGACCATATAAAGACATCTTACAACTCGGTAACAATGCAACTAGAAACAGGCAAACGTTCTGAATAGACGTTTCTCCAAAGGCACACTGAGAGCCAATAAACATGAAAAAGGTGTTCATGTCCACTAACTCATTAGGGGAATGCAAACCAAAGCCATTTCACACCTCTGGGACGGCTGTCCTTTAAAAAACTAAAAACCCGAGGGTGCCACGGTGCAGCGGGCTAAGCCAGCACTCAGGATATTTGCACCCCATCCCAGAGCGCCAATTCCAGTCTTGGCACCTTCACTTCCAATCCAGCTTCCTGCTAACGTGCACCAAGCAGCAGCCAACGACGATGGTTCAAGTGCTTGGGCCCCTGCCACGGGTAGCCTGGCTATTGCAGGTATCTGGGGAGTAACCAGCAGATGGAGGATCTGTCAGCCTCTGCCTCTGTAACTCTGCTTTTCAAATAAAGAAATCTTCATCAACTTTTTTTTAAATTAAGTGTTGACAAGGAGGTAGAGAAGCTGATGGTAGGATAGTAAAATGGCAGCCTCTGTGGAAAACTGTTTGGCACTTCCTAAGAAAGCTAAAAACTAACTGCAATATGGTCCAGCAATTCCACTTCTAGGTATATACCCAAAAGAAACGAAAATAAACTGTGTATGCCAATGTTCACAACAATGAATAAGTAAAATGATTATACACACACACACAGCATACCATTCCCCCATAAATAAGAATGAAGTAAATCAACCCTCTTTCATGGGTTCCGCATCTGGGGATTCAAGCAACCAAAGAAAATATTTGGAAAACACCTTGCATCTGTACTGAACACATACACATCTGATTTTTGGTCATTATTCCCGATCAACACAGTGTAACAACTATTTACACTATATTGGGTGTAAGCCACCTACAGAGAATTCTAAGTGCACAGGAGGATGTGCACACGTTATATGCCAATACCACCCCATTTTGTAAAAGGGACTTGACCTCTCCTGGATTTTGGTAGCCACAGAAGGTCCTGGAATCAGATCCCCATGGATATGGAGGGTGAGTACACCTGGCACAACATGGAGGGACCCTGGAAACACACATGAAGGGACTGAGGCCAGATACAAAGAGCACACGTTATACATCCCCTCTTACACGATGTGTTAGTCCAGTTTCCTGTGGCTATAAAGAAATACCTGAGGCTCAGTTACTGAAGAACAGATTTAGCTCACGCTTCTGGAGTTTCAAGGGCACGGTGCCAGCATGAGCTCAGCTTTGCCCTCATGACGAATAGCATCAAAATAGCAGCCGAGCGAGGCAGTGGCTGCATCACAGGAGCAGACAGACCGAGGTGCTCATTTCACAGCAACGCTCTCAGGACTAACTCAGGATCCCTTAGTCAGGGCGTGGTGGTGCACAGCAAGGTTAAGCCGCCTTCTGCAAGGCTGGCATGCCACATGGGCACCAGCTTTGAGTCCCAGATGCTCCGCTTCTGATCCAGCTCCCTGCGCATGCACTTGGGAAAGCAGTGAGAGATGGCCCAGGTACTAATGGGGTCTCTGCCATGCACAAGGGAGACCTGGAGTGAAGCTACTGGTTTCAGCCTGGCCCAGCCCCGGCCATTGTGGCCATCTGTGGAGTTAACCAGCAGACGGAAGACCCCTCTGTTTCTTCTTCCTCAGGAACTCTGCCTTTCAAATAAACAAACAAAGCTTTTTCTTTTCTTTCTTTCTTTTTCTTTTTCTTTTTCTTTTTCTTTTTTTTTTTGAGAGCTACCTTAAACCTTTCCAAGAGCATGGCACCAAATGATCTCCCACTAGGTTCTACCTATTAAAACTCCTATCACCTATACTCTGCCGCACAGAGGACCCAACCTGAAACACGAAGCTTTGGGGACATGCTGAAACCACAGCATATGCAATACCCAGAGCAGCTAACCCACAGACACAAGGCCTGTTAGTGGCTGCCAAAGGCCCCGAGTTCTCAAGCGGGGTACTAAGAAGTGACTTTAACAGCTGTAGGGTTTGCTATTGGGGTGATGGGGTGATGGTTGTACAACACCATAAATGTACTTAATGTCACCAAATCATACTCTTTGAAATAAACTGTAAATTCTATGTTCCATTTCTACCCACAATTAAAAAAAAAATAAATAAAAACCATAGGTCTTCCCCAGAGGGGTCACACCCAGCTCACTATGCTTTTTACCATATGATAGAAGTAAAAAAAAAAAAAAAAAAGCACACTTCCTTTGGAGAGATTGTTTCCCAAAGAGAAGGTGCTCACAGCCAAATAACCAGTTCCTTCTGTCACAGTCAAAAGCCCTGGTATCTTCCTACTCACCACTCTAAGGCCCCACTCACCAATGGTGTGGACACAGCCCTGCATTAAATCCACTCGCAGGGAGTCCTTGAAGCAGTAGTGTGTAAGAGTCCTGAAAACCTGCTTCTCCACTGGCATTCAGGACCTCTCCCACTTCTCACTGCGTCCCTGCTCCTCTGTAGCCCTCCAACTGCCTTCTCAGCACAGAACACCTCTGTGTGCAGGCAAGCAGGCCCAACTGCACACGTCCAGACCACCCCCGCGGCCCACACGCCCCCGTCCTCCCCTCTGCCTTACTGGCCTTGCCTGACTGCTCTTCCACTCTTAACCTCATACTTCCATTATCAGTGAGTCCTAGTGGCTCTACCTTCTAAATGTTCCCCAAATACGATGACTGTTAGCAACCCAGCCCAAGCGCCTCTTATCTCTCAGCTGATTGTTTGCTCCCAAGTCTGCTTGCTTATGTCCTGCTTCCTCTAGTCCCGTAGTTCTCACTTCAGAACTTGTTAGAGGGCCTCTGCCTGCAGTGCTGGCTTCCCATATTAGCTCCAGTTCATGTCCTGGCTGCTCTACTTCTAATCTAGCTCCCTGCTAATGGCCTGGGACAGCAGTGGAAGATGGCCCAAACTGGAGACCTGGAAGAAGCTCCTGGCTCCTGGCTTCGGATCAGCCCAACTTCAGCCATTCCAGGCAATCTGGGGAAGTGAACCAGCAGAGAACTCTACTCTCTGTCTATAACCTCTGCCTCTCAAATAAATAATTGAGAAAAAAAAAAAAAACTTATTAGAAATGTGAATTCCCCCAATCCCAAATCCCAGAGCGACTCATCACAAACTCTGGGAGTGATGTATCAGTAAATCCTCTGTGGCAGACAGCAGCACCACCCTCCACCTCCCCTACCTTATTCCCCACACTGCTTTCTCCCTAGCTCACCTTGCACGCAGCCACACTGGACTCCTTGTAGATGACACCATATTCACAACACTCATTTTCAGCATCTTGTAAGTAGCTGTCCCCGCCTTCCCCACTCCAATATTTAATTATCTCCTCAGTGAAACCTTATCTGAATACCCTACAGAGCATCTTCACCCTGGCCTCGCCGCTTCCCCATGCTGAACAGTCCACCCAAGGACTGCTCACATGGCAGCAATCGGTGTCCTGCTGTCCTCCTATATTCTATGACGTTAGCCCATGTGGATACAGTCCTGTTTTATTCCTGCCATGCTGTGAGCAACGAAGAAGAAATCTGACATTCAACAAATGTGACCAAGGCAAGGTTTGCTGATGAGCAAACACACAGAGGAACTGAGGGGGAACATCTCATCTCACCACCACGACATTTTCAGAGCAGAAAAATGAAATAAAAGCGGAGCAAAACAGTGCACGGAGAATAGAGAAAAAGAAGGCAGCAGTTGATGGGGAAGGCTGAGTCACTCAGAATAAACCCATCTCGGGGGAGCAAGGTCCAGAGAGACTCAGAGCTGAGCCCAGCCAGAACCGTGAGCTTTCGTATGCCGCAGGGAGTGTCACAGGCAAACAGCATCCGTGCTGCCCACTGGGAGCTACAGCGTGAGAGGCTCACACCATACAGAACTAGTCCAGGAAAGACCAAGGTGCAAACTCTGAGGTATGATTTCTACTGAATGCATATGGCTTTCACACCAGCACGAAGCTGAAAAGTCCTGAGCCAAAGCATCGTAAGTCAGCAACTATCTGTATCAGATCTAAGATAAACAGCTTAGAAATAAACAACAAAACTGTTTATAAGACTGCAGCAGTTGGGATGGTGCTGTGGCTTAGTGGGATGCAGTGCTGGCATCGCACAGAGGTGCTGGTTCTAGTCCCGGCTGCTCCACTTGTGATCCAGCTCTCTGTGGCCTGGGAAGCAGCAGAAGATGGCCCCTGATTCCATGTGGGAGATCCAGAAGAAGCTCCTGGCTCCTGGATCAGCACAGCTCTGGCTGTCATGGGCATCTGGGGAGTGAATCAGCGGACGGAAAACCCCTCTAACTCTGCCTTTCAAATAAATAAATCTTTAAAATTAAAAAAAAAAAAAAAAAAGTGGGGGGGGGGTGGGATCCCATAGTAGCATGACTATATGGACAATTAAAAAAAAAAAAAAAAAAAAAAAAAGACCACAGGAGCAGCTGAAAGAAACATCCCCCAGTCCAGTGCACCCTTGTCAATCTTACTACCACTTTTATAGTAAGAAATCATGCCTTTGTCAAAGTCAAATAAATAACTGGTCAGATATCAATGAAGCAAGTGGAGCCCAAACTGCCTCCACCATACAGTGTACTAACATTTTATTTAGGGAAGCCTGAAAATCTACTAAAGGATAATCAAAACATCAAGCTGGGGTAAATAGACTGCAATAAGCCTTTTTAAAGACATGGTTAGAGATAATAAATTGAAGGTTATCTTTTTCCTTCTACAAAAGAGGCAAGACAAACCAAGTGTAAAAGCTAGAGATTTATTGTTATTTTGTGATTAATAAATCATCAAATTGGTTATGACACTGTCCCACACTGTCCCACCATTCACCATACACAAGCTTTTAAACCAGACTGAGGCATAAGGCAAAAAGAGCAAAGACACATGAATCCCTTCCTCTGCAACCTCCTCTCGTCATGCCTCCGCCGGACCGTCACGCATGCGCTCCTCCTGGGGGAAGCATCAGAACAGTGCATGGACTGGTGGGCAACCCGGCATCCTAACCTTTTCAAATAGCAAGCAACTTATCAAAGTAATGGAATTCAACTTGTAGTTTCCTTGATTTTATTGGTCTGACTCATTTTAGTTTAACATTTTAATTTTCTGTAACTGTACATGAGATAATATAATGACCTAAGAGAATACTGAACCAGAGTCAGCCAAATATATTACTGACCCTGAAGTTATGTTTTAATTGGTCCTAAAGGAATGTACCACCCCGACAGTTTGAGAGTTAGGCAAACAGAACTTCTGTGGGGAGGGAAGAAAATGGCTATAGAACAGCCAAATGTATTCGACATTGTTAAAACGGCTCTTTGTTGTTCACCCCTGAATACTTCATTACTACACTATATGCACAGAAATCCTAACAGAATCTTGGTTGCCAGTATTACTTAGGCTGGCCCAATCCAGGATAGACTCCGCCGCCCCACCCCCACCCCACTCCCCTTTCTCTGAGGCTCTGAAAAGCACAATATTTAACTATTTCTTAATAGAACTACCCAAACACTTCAGAAACAAGTGGCTCACAAATCATTTTAAATTCATGTATTGCCTGTGCATGAGAAAACTGATAAACCAAAAGATAGTCCTATTTGTATATGGCAATTAAAAATAACTGAAACATCAAGACACTTTCAGTGAAAGCAACATTTCAATTACAAATTGTAATGCCTGCTAAACTACCTATGGGCGAAGCTGAAAAGTCCTAGGCAAATGCATTTGTGGGTATACTACAGTGCTCCTTCAGTCTGCACAAAGAGTAAGATAATTTACAGTCACTCTGTGAATGCTGAGACAATGTTACATGATGTTGTCTGTACAATTAAATGTCCTTGAACAGACAGCCAAAATCAGCTTTTCTATTATAGTTTCCAATGAACCTGACTAACCGGCACTTTTGCTGAGAGATGTTTACCAAAGATGCTGTAAGATTCTATACAACTGGGAAATACTCAGCTTTCAGAGCATTTCCTATTCTTACTTTTGTGATTACAGGTGTTTGGGTCAAATACTGCAGTTTGTTTCTAGAAAGGTGCATTCTCTGTGTTGTATACAAATAAAGCAAAAATCATCAGGAGTATAAATCTTACAGCATTCTGTTTGCAAAAATACATGCCAAAGTCACAATAAGCAATATTGTACCACAAATTATAGAGCGCAAATGATTTGCTTCTTTTTAATGCTTTTATTCTACATAAATTACTACCATAGGCTAATGTTTAAAAAGCAAATAAACTGGACAGATGCAGGACCAAAATCAGTTCACCCAACTATAAAAGGTGATGTTTTAAAAAAATTACAATAAATGCAGAAGTGTTTGATGCATGCAGTAGCCTTAAATGAAAAAGCATTGATTCCCACGGTTCCAAAAAAGAAAAACACAGAAAAACCCACACATCTTACTGAACTCCACCTTAAAATCAATCATATTGGGTTTGTTTATAACAGCACAGAATTCCAAGAGTCAAAATGAAATAAAGCAGGTATTTTAAAGATTTAAGAGCCGTTATCAAAAATAAATTACATTTTTTCAAGATACAGAAATGCTGCTATGACGGCTGGGAGCCCAGTAACCTTTCAATAGCTGCGTTGATGTCACCTCCTGTTGCTATTAGCGCCTGCAAGTTTGCTTCACGGTTCAAAAATCCCATTGCACTGAGTTGTTCCAGTTGTTGCTGAAATCTGACTTCTGGATTCTGTAGCTGTTAAAGAAGGAAAATGAATCAAATTCTAAGGGAAATCAGTCCATGTCAGACACAAATGACTTTTTAAAACTTAACTGCTCTTTTATAACATATGTCGGTTTGTTCAGTTTTAAAACGCTCTTTTCTCTTGAAACACCTCCAACGTATACAAATGTACATTAGCACTTTATTTTGTTGCTTTTGAAAAATCTATCTGAAAAGCAGGAAGAGACCAATCAATCAAATGGATTGATATTCCATCAGCTGGTTCACTCCTGAAATGCCAATAGCTAAAGCCGGATCAGGCCAAAATAGGAGCCAGAAACTGAATCCACATGTCCCATATAGGTGGAAGGGACCCAAGTACTTGAACCATTAACCGCTGCCTTCCCAGGGTGTGCATTAGCACAGAGTAGAGCCAAGACTTGAATCTCAGATACGGGATATGGGTGTCCAAAGTTTCATATTGACCACTACGCCAAATGCTCGCCTCTACTTTGTTATTTTAAATGGTCTAGTTTATACCTAAACAATAACCAGTTAGGTCATACAACTGATGTAAAAAAAAAAAAACTTCAACCATTACTTTACATGCTCATGAACATGCAGAAAAACTTGGACATTTATATGTAAATTCAGAGTTCCCACTGACCAGTGTCCTAGAGCAGGCGTTTAGTCTAGAAGTTAAGACGCTTGTGTCCCACGCTGGGAATACCTGGGTTCAACCCCTTGCTCCTGATTCCAGCTTCCTATTATTGCAGACTTGGGAGGCAGCAATGATGGCTCAGGCAATTAAGTTCCTACTACCTATGAGTCGCTGGCTCCCAGTTCTGACAATGGTCCAGCCCAGCTGTCATATTTGGTGAGGGAACCAGCAGATGGGAGCGCACTCATGCTCACCTATAGAATTTTAAAGTTCCAATGAGGCTCAGAATGTGGATTACATTTCTGAACCAGCCATCCAACCTACAGCCTCAAAACTATACTCTTAATCCTAACGACTCAGCTGCGTCACATCTTTCTTCAGAAATGAGACTTGTAAAGTCTGGGGGCAACCACCTTTGTATAATGGTACATTATAAACGATTATTCTAAAGATAATAAACGTTTACAATGCAAGAATATTGGGGAGAGTCTATATTTTTAGCTTTATTTGTGAGGTATATATATGTAACACAAGTTACTACAGGTGGGCAGTGCTGCGGTTACATGGAGTGAGGTAAGCAGGATTGTTTTTCAAAGTCTAAATACAAAGACTACATATGTCCAGGATGTGCTCAAGATAATCAAGTTTCTACTCTTCTCTGACAAACTTTCATTAAACAATATTCAATTCAAATGGATTTTCCAACAGGAACTTCAAAAATTAATAATTTTAAAATGCAACTTCAAAAATTACATTCCTTGTAGCATTTCTTCAAGTACAAAAATGTTTTGTTTCGTGTCTGATATAGCACCAAAGTCAACTTTTGTAACATTTATTTTTAATTTCAACTTTTTTTTTTAAAGATTTATTTATTTGAAAGGCAGTTAGAGAGAGAGAGGGCTTCCATCTGCTGGTCTACTTCCCAGATGGCTGCGATGGCTGGGGATAGGCCAGGCCAAAACCAGGAGCCTGGAGCTTCATCTGGGGCTCCCACATGGGTGCAGGGGCCCAAGCACCTGGGCCATCTCCCGCTCTTTCCCAGACCATTAGCAGGGCGCTGGATGGGAAGTGGAGCAGCTGGGCTCTGAAGTGGTGCCCATTGGGATGCTGGTGTCACAGGCAGTGGCTCACATCACTATGCCACAATGCTGGCCTCCAATGTATTTTTTAAAAGATTTATTTGAAAGGCAGAGTTAGAGAGAGAGATGGAGAGATGGAAGAGATCTCCCATCTGTTGGTTTATTCCCCAAATGGCCTAAACTTCATCCTGGGCTCCAACATGGGAGGCAGGGGCCCACGTATTCGGGTCACCTTTTGCTGCTTTCCCATATTAGCATATTGGATTTGAAGTAGAAAGTAGAGGGGCAGGCACTGTGGCGTAGCAGGTAAAGCCACAGCCTACAGTGCTAGCATCCCATTTGTGTCAGTTTGAGACCCAGCTGCTTCTTTTCCGATCCTGCTCTCTGCTGTGGCCTGGGAAAGCAGTGGAAGATGGCCCCCAAGTCCTTGGGTCTCCGCACCCGCATGGGAGACCCAGAAGAAGCTCCTGGCTCCTGGCTTTGGATTGCCACAGCTCCAACCGCTGCGGCCAATTGGGGAGTGAACCAATGATGGAAGACCTTTCTTTTTCCGTCTCTCCTTCTCTCTGTGTAACTCTTTCAAATAAATAAATATTAAAAAAAAAAAAAGATAAAAGAAAGAAATAGAACAGCAGGGACTTGAACAGGCACTCAAATGGGATGCCAGTCTTTCACGCAGACACTAGCCCCTAGTCTCAGTATCTTTTAAATCTGTGCCTCTCATTAGTCTCTATACACTTAAGGACTGTGCTTTCCCCCTTTTTTCTCTTTCTGGAAATTTATGAAATGAAAGAATACTATCCATAAACAGAAAAGAGTTATTACCTGAGGATTTACTCCAGCAAGAGCCTGCAGCATCTGCTGAATAAACTGTTGGTGGCCAGGTTCGGTGGTCCCTGTTGTGGGGCTTGTGTTCTCACTGGCTGTAGTGTTAGATCCATTGGTTCCTGAAGAGCCTCCAGTGTTTCCCAAGGCCCCCAGGCCAGGAGTAAACCTAGAGGAAGAACAAACAGGTCATAAACTAGAGGATAGGAGTCAATCAGTTACGTTTTAACATACTATTAACTGAATTATCTTCTTAATAAACACTTGTAATTCTGAAAACTCTGATTTGGGAACTTGCACTGTGGCGCAGTGTGTTAAGCTGCCACCATATGAGTGCTGGTTCAAGTCCCAGCTGCCCCACTTCCAATACAGCTGCCTGCTAATGGCCTGGGAAAAGCAGAAGATGGCCCAAGTGCTTGGAATCCTGCCACTCATGTGGGAGACTGGGAAGAATCTCCTGGCTCCTGGCTACAGCCTGGCCCTGCCCTGGCTATTGCAGCTATTTGGGGAATGAATCAGCAGAATCTCTCTCTCTTTGGCTCTGCCTTTCAAATAAATACATCTTTTAAAAAAAAAAAAAAAAAAAAAAAAAAAAAAAAACTAAAAATAATCACAACCAAAAAAGGCAGAATGATATTAACCCTGAAATTCTCAGAGAAAGTTAACCATTATACACTTTCATAATCTTCCTCAAATAAACTTACCCTGGAATGAGGCCAGGGGCTTCTGTTGCTAATGTCTGTAAACCCTGCTGAATCTGTAACAAGGCCTGCATTGCTCTAGGGTTTGACATTGCTGACAGTGTATCAGGATTCTGCATCTAAAGGAAAAAGAAAATCGAGGGTTACAAGGGAATTAAAATCAGTGAAGGTAAATTCTTATATCTTTACTTGTGTTTTCAGAGAAAATCTAAAACCTCACTCCTGGACACTGGTTATCCATTAGTTTCTTTCCCAAAATAACAAGCATTTCCTCTTTTACAGCAAATCACTACCTGACCTCCCCCCAAGTCCATCAGCAAAGCCATTCCCATAATGGTGGACACTCTGGAAGCCGCCACTCCTCCCATGCTCCAACAGAAGATTACAAATATTATTTCCAAGAGACACCTCCAACTACACAAGTTATACACATGGTAGTACTGTGAAAGCCACACATTCCTCCTGAACAAGTGTTACCTGTAACAAGTTTACAACTAACGTACACTCTGAAACAATAGTTCCAAATCTGAAGTTAATACAGATGTCCTGAGTTTAGCCTCACTGCTTCCAAATATACACCACCTGACTGACCAAAAAAGGAAGACTTACACCATTTCCATAGATCAAGGACACTAACTAACCTTGGACAATGGTTCACAGGCCTGGGAATTATCTGCATAATCTATAAAGCCCTAGAGCTACCAGTTTCAAAATACCAAGATCGATGCCTCTTTTATCTTTTTCAAATAATAAAATATCATGGCAATCTCAAGTACTTTTTTAAAAAATAGAATCTTCCTTATTTGACGACACTAACACTTTTACTAACTCCAAATCTGAGGAACTGAGATCTACCCCTTGGAAGGCAGGCATTCTACTAGTTTGAGAAAAATTAAAACATTACAAAGAAAACAAACCTTGCAAAGTAAGACTGGGTAGCTCTTTCCTGTTACTTGAGATTAGTTAAACCATAAAGCGTAACATGAAGGAAGCACGTCAATGTTAGTAAAGAGAAAGGAAATGGTATGGTATTAACAAAGCATTCAAAATCCCAAGTCCTCAAAAGAAAAAATAAAATGGTTCTTCCCTCAGAATTTATGTTTAAGAAAGAGGAGTCAAAGATCAGCAGTGAAATGGGGTTCAGTTAGATCAAGCTGAGTTCTCTACAAACTGACAGGATATCCTATTCCAGTCTCTGTTCTGCCATCAGCCAGAGAAGATCGAGGAAAGTGGTCAGCATCAAAGTTTCAAGCAAATCATTACTGAAGACAGCTGGCATCTTTTCTTACTCACTTGTTGAAGGAAAGTTGGGAGCTGTTGTCTCATTTGTTCTTGAAGCTGAGGATTTCCAGCAAATAGGGGATTATTCAGCATCATCTATGGGGCAAGTGTTCAAACAATTTTAACTGGAAATATCGGAAACAAGTAATGTACCTTGTTTAATATTCTATCTTCCCACAAGTGCCCAAGCTGGCACTTAAAAGGGAGGAAGGTAGAAACTAAATTAAAAAGGAAAAGGGAAAATATTATCCACAAAAGAGATCTCCAGGAAAAAACAAAACCACGACATCTTCTCTCAATGAGAATGGCGATTATGATAATGACATGCAATACCCTACAAATAAAAGTAATCGTATTTTAGACTTTTCCTTGAGCAAAGGTGAATTTTTGCCCTTGAAAGAAAATTGGGAGTGACTGGCTTCACGAGGAAACATGTTCTGCTACACTGACAGGATAAACATAAACATCAATACAGGAAACTTGCTCAGAAACCTCCACACGTAAGAGGCCAGTACAGAGAAAAATTCAGATCTGGAACCACTATATCTATCTGCCTCCTACAAAACAGCTATATTTGGTCCAGAAAAATAATACCACAAAAAGCAACCACCTTGCCAGAGAAATGGAGCTGCTGGAGGAAAATCGGCCAGAACTAGCTCTGACAGTCTCTGGGGAAAGTGTTAAAATGCTGTAAGACCTGAGAGATGTAAATCCATTTGAGAACACCAAGATTAGCAGCTGCATTTCACCTCGCTACCACCAGAGATGGGAAAATTAACATTATCTCCTAACTTTCAAATAGGTGTTGAGAATTTAAAAGTCAGGGCCAATATTCACATGATTTTGGATACTCAAAAATAAGATTTCAATACACAATCAGCATAACCAGAAATTAATAAATTATCCTAGCTTCAAGAGACAAATTTTACATCATTTTGCTCCAGGTGGAGTGAAAACTCCACCTAACAATGCTGAACTGGCAACCTATTGACCTGTCCAAAGTCTGGACAGGAAAACGGGCCTTGTCCTCAGGCAGTCAGCCACGCTTATAAGAGCAATTATATATAAATGTTGGAAGCAGAGAACTCTCCCCTCCCTCCTTCAGGTAATCTCTTACTGCAAAGTGGCTCATTTAATTCCAACACAATAATCCAAACAGAAAAATGCCAGACAGTGTTTGATTGTTGATAGATATATAGTATTTCTTTCAAAGGGATCAGTAAGTTCCCAGTAATACCCACTTGAGGTCAACAAACTTGTCTCTTTACTGCCTCCAGTAAAATACTTCTTAATTATAAACACATTAATGAAGTTACCACATTTATCTTCAGGATTTATGTCATTTAAACCAATTAGAAAAATTATGTAATTTTAAATTTACTCATTCCTTCTCAGAAAATAATTTTATTTGATTAAGCTGTTTCCTAACTTACCTGTTTATATCACAATATAGATTTTACACTACTCTTTTTTGAATATTTAATATCAAAAGCAAAATAGAGAAGCTACAAAGCAAAATCTTCTGATAACCAAAATATATTGTAAAAGTTTCTAAATTGGCTAAAATAAGACATCCACATCTAACATTCTTTGTCAACAAAAAACACTATGTGTAAGTACTCAGGGCACTTTATAAATGTAAAAGTACTGCTATTTTAATTGGTGAGGAATGTGCTTACCCCATTTAAGTCCCAAGTTTTCAATTCTGAAACTATTTAAATGACATAATATCTATTCCAAAGTTACCCTAAGTAGTGTATTTATTGCTCAATTTAAGTTTAGAGGTGCCCTATACATAAGGTTATGAAATATATTGAGTTTTTAAATCAGATTTCAAAATACACACATTCAATTTTATTAAACATACATTTAAGGCTGAATAGGATTACTGTACATACATATTTTCTCCATTTATTTTAAACAAATACGAACATTTTAGCTTAATTTACTGTCCAAAATGGTTCTGATTAAGGTGAGTTCAAGCACTTAATATAGTTGTAACTCAGTCTGATAATATTCATATGAATAAACAGTTTCACATAATGAACCGACAATATACAAAATTTCAAATATACAAATTACCCTAAGAACCTGTACTTCCAATTCCACAAATATTGTTGTGAGAATTATACCTCAAAAACATCTGCTATATAATGGAATCAATATGGTTCTAGCTTTTAGAAAATGAAAACCATTATGTTTAATAAAGCAAAGTGATTTAAGAAATAGGATTAACTATAAATGAAAATATCTCAAATTCTTTACACTCAACAGAGGCCACTTTTCATAGGCAGCAAATATAAATGATACTCAAGGCTTAATTCACATTTTCCATAGTATTTCAAACCCAGGGGCGCTGAACCTAGAGAGTACATCAAAATCACCTAAGGAACTGGAAGGGAGGGTAGGGACCCAACACCATTAAAGGTTTAAGCATAAGCACTGTAAGTTCCCAAGTGATACTGAACGTTCAGTCAGTGTTGAAATTCACTGATTTTCTTAGTTATGTTCTCTTAGGTCCAATATATTAACATTGGGGAATGGGGGAGAGGGCAATCTTTAACAAATGAGAACATCATTCCTACAAATCCCTGTCTGGAGGGCAGAGTTCAGCCAAGTTAAAGAAGCCGCAACCCACACTGGAAGCTCTAGGTTCCTTACCCAGCTCCAGTCCCGACTGCAGCTTCCTGCTAATGCAACTCTGGGGGGCAGCACTGATGGCTCAAGTCCTGGTGTCCCTCCCTGTCATCCATGCAGGGGACCTGGACTGTGTCCTCACTGTCCATGCAGGAGACCTAGACTGAGTGCCCGGCTCCTGGTTCTAAGAACCACTCAGGTCCACCCTGGCTGTTGTGGGCATTTAGAGCATGAACCAGTAGATAACTCTCAATAATTTTAAATTAAAAACAAAAAGTTCTCCCTCTGCCATTAACAAAAAATTTCAGGCTGTTTTACAACTGACATTTTGAAAATGAGTGCTATAATCTGAATGATCTAATAAATGAAAGTATTTCAAAATATTAATTTTGTTCTTAACTGCTACATTTCACAGAAGACTATATCCTCGAGAGAGAGCAATCCAAAACTTTAGTCATCTCCTAACTCAATACACGCATATGTAAAGTAAACCTGCACTTGTTTTTTCATCAAAGAATGGTAGACTTTCTAGTCAATGACTGGCAGGGACAAAATTTTTAATTATACATCAATTATTAATTTACTGCAAAGACACAAACGGCCCCCAACACTGGAGGTAGTTTACCTACATTTTCAGTGTGTTAGGAAAGCACACAAAACATCCATGTGCCAAAATCAGCATTGCTGCACCAGGCTATTTCAGTGCACACTACACAGCTCTTTCAGTAGCAATTCCAAACTCACCTGCGCAGCAAGGTCCGGGTTCTGGCTTAGTGACTGCATCATGCTTCTCATGTAGGGGGCAGACAACATATTTTGCATAAGTTGTGGGTTTTCAGTTATTTGTTGCAATAAGCTCTGCATTCCTGGTGTATTGAACATACTAGCTGAAAGTTTGTTTTTAGAAAATAAAAATAAAAAAGGTATTATATTATGAAAAAAATACAAAAACAAAAGTTACAGCTTTAAAATATATACTGAATTAGAACTAGAGATGAACACATTAGTCCTTTTTATCAACAAATTCATTTTATTGGTCAACAGGAGCCTGAAAATATTCCATGGAAGTAATTCTGAAGTTTTCAACTGCATGCCATTTGAGCAGTGTGATGAAATCTCATGCCAGGCACTGGTGCCATGGTGCAGAGGGTTAAGCCACCTCTTGCAACACCACCATCCCGTACTGGAGTGTCAGAATGCTGGCTATTCTGCTTCTTATACTAATGCATCTGGGAAGGCAATGGAAGATGGCCCAAGTACTAGGGCCCTCACCACCCAGGCAAGAGACCCAGAGGGAGTCCCTGGTTCCTGGATTCAGGCTGGCCCAGCCCTGGCTGTTGTGGCCATTTCAGAAGTCAATCAGTGATGTAATGTTGTTTTTGTTTTTCAAAGATTTACTTGAAAGTCAGAGTTACACAGAGAGAGAAGGAGAGGCAGAAAGAGAAAGAAGAGAGGTCTTCTATCTGCCGGTTCACTCCCCAGTTGGCCACAATGGCCAGAGCTGCGCTGATCTGAAGCCAGGAGCTTCTTCCAGGTCTCCCATGCAGGTGCAGGGGCCCAAGAAGTTGGGCCATAGTCCACTGCTTTCCCAAGCCACCTCAGAGAGCTGGATAGGAAGTCGAACAGCTGGGACTCGAACTGGCACCCAAATGGGACGCCAGCACTGCAGGTGGCAGCTTTACCTACTACACCACAGTGCCAGCCCCTCAGTGATATAATGTTATCTCTCTGTCTCTCCCTGTCTATAGCTCTGCCTTTCCAATAAACAGAATTAAATCCTTAAAAAAAAAAAAAAAATCTCATGCCATCCTGCTCTGTCCCCTCCCTAGCGTATCCACACTGCCTGCCAGTTAGCCCTTAGCAGCCATCTTGGTCATCAGACTGATTGCTGCAGATGACAGTACTTATGTTCTAGCTACTTTATTTGACCTAATGACAGCCCCAAAATACAACTGTGGGGTGGTGATGGCAAAAGCTATTAAGAACTTTCAGTGAAGAGGTGAAAGGTCTTGACTTATATGAAAAAAGGAAGTATGATGAGTTTACAAATATCTTTAGTAAGAAAGAATACTGTAGCAATTAAATTATGAAGAAAGAAAAGGAAATTTATGCTAATGTTACTATCATCCCTTAAACTGCAAAAAGGTACAGCCACAATGCATAAGTGCTTACTAAAATGGAAAAGGTATTAGTGCATGTATGGGAAAAATACATACTAGAATAATTTTAAACATTCTGGTTGCATTTAACAGTAAAATCATATCCAAAGGAAAGGTTAGGTTCTACAGTCAATTTATGGCAAAAATTAGAAACAGTCAAACTGTTGAAAAATCCTGTAAGTGAAGGAAGACTGAACCAACTCTTCCTTCAGGACTGCCGAAGACTGCTTAAGTAAATCAGATGCAGCATTCCCACTCAAGGAGGAATACCTTCAAGCCCCGTGAGTATTAGATGAAAAGTCTCCATCCCAATCCCACTGAGTGCTGATGCTGAGTGGAATGGAGGCACAGTAAACCTCTGTAAGACCTCAGAGCACAGCTATGTGTCTCAGCCAGAGTCCCTTGGTCCAACTCCAATGAACAATCCAATTGTGGGCAAGTTATTTACTTTCTTCATACTTTAATTTCTCCATCTATAAAATGGAGAAAACTGCATCCACTTTACAGGATGAATGTGATCAACTCATATGTAAAGCACTTGTTAAAAAAATGCTCCTCTTATTTCTCTTCTTTTTTACTGCGAACTGCAGTTGGATTTAGCTGAATTCAGTAGGTGATGACAACTATATTTATGCAAATTTTCTCTGAAAGCTAATTAATTTAACTCACACCCAGATTTTTGGTTGCTGACTAGATATACTCAAATTGAAACATATTCTCAAACCTATCATCTCAATTAATTAGCTGTTTCATTTCCCATTTGCTCTTCTTTCTTCCATATGGTACAGTTGTATTGGGATTAAAGCATTGACTCTTCCCACTCACCCTTACAGTTTATCATTCTACTGTTTGCTTGTTTTCTAAAGATTTATTTATTTGAAAGTCAAAGCTACACAGAAAGAGAGCTCTTCCATCTGCTGGTTCAGCCAGGGCTGAGCCAGGCTCTCCCATGTGGGTGGCAAGAGCCTAAACACTTGGGCCATCTTCTGCTGCTTTTCCCAGGCCATTAGCAGGCAGCTGGATGAGAAGTAGAGCAGCTGAGACATGAACCAGCACCCATTCCACCCATATGAGATGCTTCACCCACCATGCCAGAGCACCAGCTCCTCATTCTACTGTTTTTAATCTTTGCTTTTTCTACTTTCTCATGTCTTACCTTTACTTTTTTCCACATAACATACTGGCAAACTACAACTCACAGGACAAATTAGCCCACAATAGCCCACAACCTGTTTCTATACAGTCCCTGAGATAAAAATTTTTAACCTTTTTAAATGGTTATGGGAGAAAACTTAAAGGGAAATGTTTTGTGATATGTTGAAACTATCTGAAATTCAACTTTCAGTATCCACAAACACCATTTTATTGGCAAAACTACGCTCACTTGTTGATTGTCTATGGGTGCTTGGGCAGTACAAAACCAGAGCTGAGTGTCTGAGACATGTCTGACTATGGTGCTATCACTGTTCCACACTGCTCTCAGAGTCAGCTGTCCCACATGCTCATGAAATCACGGCAGCATGGCGGTGACATTGTTTCATTCCCCACAGTCCACGTGTCCTCCAGGCCAGACAGAGAAAAAGGGGAGAGAACAGTTGTGTTTATTATGCACTGGCACTCAAGAATACACACACACAGACTTAACACAATATTCCCCCACCCATAGGAAAGCAATGGGCAGGAAAATTAAGAAATGTTAAAATAAAATGAAGTATCTTATCAAAGCCAAATTTCTTTGAAACAAATGAGCTTCAAAGTTGAGTCTGTAAGTGGTTTACTTGTTGGTCAATCAACAAAAACTAGTAATGGCAGTGATCAAATAGAATAGTTAATTAAATCCTGATTACAGCAGACAAATAAGTGTACTAAGAAAAAACAAACTTAAGTCTATTAGTCTTGTGGGAAGAACAGATTTTTCTCAGAGTTAAGGACTGTGGGTACAATATTATTATCCAATTTAAGGGGCCAGCATCATGGTATAGCAGGTTAAGCTATTGATACCTGTACCCCATAATGGAGTGCCGGTTTAAGTCCCAGTTTCTCCACTTCTGATTCATCTCCCTACTAAGGTGGCTTTGAAATCAAACAAGATGGAACAAGTGTCCTGATTCCAGCCTGGTCTTGGCCAGCCCCAGCCATTGAGGTCATTTGGGGGAATGAACCAGCAGATGGAAAATCTCTTTTTCTCACTTCATCACCCTCAAATAAATAAATCTTTTAAAATATGTACGTACACACATGTCCAGTTTAAAATACACAAATGACTTTGAATTGTATTCCTGGGCTCCTAATAAGTGAACAATTTTTATAAAGAGTTATTTTTATTTATTTGAAAGGCAGAGTGACAGAGACAGGGAGACAGGAAGAAAAAGTTTGCTCAGTTCCTATTTGAAGAGTCAATGCCACATCTGAAGTGACTGGAAAATGCTTTAACAAACAGCATGCAACAAATAGGGTAACATTATTCTTAAAGAAGTCAGAAAATACTATTTCAGAAAAACCTGAAGTAGAATCTGGTAAGATGTGCTACATCTGATGTTTGTAAAACCGTGCTTGGAGAATTGAAAGGATTCAGATTCACAACATTTGCAGAAACATAAGGTATCTAAATACTCCGGTTATTTACTGTTGTATTCATCAGCAGGTAGTCTGTAGAACGTATTTTAAGCTATAATGTTATTGAACCAGTAGGAGTATCAATGAGGAGCACCATTCACTCTTAACCAGAGACAATTCCATAATTTTGTTAATAGCTCAACATCCTAACACACGCAAACAAAAAGCAGGTTGATGCTCTCTGCTGTGGCCTGGGAAAGCAGTGGAGGATGGCCCGAGTCCTTGGGCCCCTGCACCCAGAGGAAGCTCCTGGCTTCAGATTGGCCCAGTTCCAGCTGTTGCAGCCATTTGGAGATTGAATCAGCAGATGGCAGACTCTCTCTCTCTACCTCTACCTTTCACATAAATAGCACCAAAAAAAAAAAAAAAAAAAAAGACAGAAAGAAAGAAATCTGGTATTACAAAATGAACGTTTTCTAGAGACCTGATGATGTTTCTCGATGAATCCAGCACTTACGTATGAACCTCTTACCTTGGCAGTCATTTTCACATCAACTCTTGTTTCACAGCAATCTCAAACTGCTTTTATTACTATTATTTATTTTATTATTTAATTTTATATTTATTTTATTACTTACTTATTATTTATTTGAAAGACAGAGTTAGAGAGGTAGAAACAGAGAAAAAAGTCTTCCATCTACTGGTTCACTCCCCAGTTGGCCGCACTGGCTGGAGTTGTGCCGATCTGAAGCCAGGAGCCAGGAGCTTCCTCTGGTCTACCCATGTGGGTGCAGGAGCCCAAGGACTTGGGCCATCTTACACAGCTTTCCCAGGCCACAGCAGAGAGCTGGATCGGAAGAGGAGCAACTGGGAATAGAACCGGAGCCCACATGGGGTTGCTGGCGCTTCAGGCAGGGCTTTAACCCGCTGCGCCATAGCGCCGGCCCACAAACTGTTTTTATATACTTCTTATGCTGCCAAACATTAAGAAGAAACAAGGCCGGCGCAGTGGCTCACTTGGCTAGTCCTCCGCCTGCGGCACCAGCACCCCAGGTTCTAGTCCCAGTTGGAGTGCCAGGTACTAGTCCCAGTTGCTCCTCTTCCAGTCCAGCTCTCTGCTGTGGCCTAGGAGGGGACAGGAGGATGGCCCAAGTGCTTGGGTCCCTGCACCA